TCTAAATGCTTGTATTTTGAATAACATCTAGTAAAATGTTATGTACTGTCATCATGGCAAAGATAAAACAAATCAGTAATTAGACACGATATATCAAAACTATTGTGTTCAGAAATAAGTTTAAAAAAACTTCTTTCCGTTAAACAGAAATTGGAGGAAAAGGGTTGCTAATATTCTGGAGGGCTAATAATTCTTACTTCATATATATATATATATATATATATATATATATATATATATGAGGGTTAATATGAATAATCACTAATCACCGCATTTTGACACCTATTTGACCTGATGCTGCTTATGTGTGTGTGCAACACGCATAAGCACGCGGTCTTTCACGCTTTTGGTATTTGATTCAATAATTGTTTATTTCGATTAATGGTTTTTCATAATCGTTAGAAGCCATAATCGGAATCAAAATCAGATTTTGGATTAATTGCACAGCCCTACGTCAGTGTCATTTTTTTTTTCTCCTGGTGCACTCCAGTAATATATTTTTTCTAAGGCCATTTTTACAAATGTGGCTTAAACAGCCTAATTTAACTAAGGCCTAGTCCTGGCTTTTTGTGAAACTGGGCCTTTATGGTTTGAGCATCAATATTGCAACGTGTGCATCTGTAATAGTCACTTCACAAGATATGCAATGTTGAGTTATAGAATTATATTTGACCAGAAACTTTATCAAAACAAGATTTGTGAATCATAATTGAATGAAAGTTTATTGAGTGTAGGAACTATGACGTCAATTTGTATGCAAAAACCTGGAAGCGAGTTAGCATTTTAGCGGTTCCAATTCCCAAAGTCAATGAGTTTTTTCATTGGAATCTCAGTAAATAAGGATTGTGGCTAACACAAACTCAAGATACTTTCACGTTTTGTTCTACGATATAAAAAACATCAGTTACAGCTAGGGCTGGGCGATTTTTTTTTTTAAATTTTTTTTTTGATTAATTCGAATTTACGTTTTAAGACGATTTAATTTTGAATCAAATCGAGAAATCGCGATTTTTAAAAAATATATATTTAATACATTATAATGGCACCTATGCGCTTTGGTTCACTCTCTGTATGAAGCAGGAAGCACGCCAGAAGCGCCTCTTGGCGACGCGCCGCGCAGCACCATGCAGCGCCATGGATTTTAGAATTCTAAACAGGTTTCAATACACACACGAATGTGTGCGTTTGGTGTGTGATAGTTTAAACCGTCATGTGGGCGCCGTGTCGCATCGCTTCTGGTGTGCGACCTGCTTGACTGCCGGTTAAAGTGTGAAGTCATGTAGGATTTTACTTGTTGCATTAGTCTGAGTCACGTCTGTGTGAATTGACAAGACATTCCATCATCAATTCGATAAACTCGATCTCAACATGTATGAAGGACGTAAAAGCCTGCCATGCGAAAAGCCACGTCGACCTTTTGGTTTGAACACAAGCAGAGGTGAGGGCCAGTAGCAGTGAAAATGAAAGTACCCGCCCCCATGACGTCATTTAGCGGACCTAGTTGAAAACCAGACAGATCAGGCAGCATAATACAGGGAGTGGTGCAAAGCCCATCAAATGATCTGTATTTAAAAGGGGGGAAAAAAGAAAAATAGATTATATATATTAATTATATATATTATTTTATATTAGACACACATCTGGTGCTTGTATTTGCTCCTGCAATACGTCCACAACTTCACACATTGGGTTAAATTAGGCTTTACAGTTTCCATGTACAGTCCTTTTCTTCCACTGTATCTTTTTAAGAAAAAGGCGGCAGCATTACAACCTGTCATTCAATCAGAAGACAAAGTCAAAGCCAAGCTGACAGCCAATCTCAGCAAAACTTGCAAAAAATACCCCTGTATTCCTGCAAGTGCAATATTTACACAAATATTTCTTATTCAAATCTTCAGCAACGCTATTTAACTCTTGAATTTGTTTTACATTTATTTACACCTTGACAAATTTTTGTATGACATGGCCATTAAAATACAATGTAGCTTAACCAGATGGTTTTTCAAGTTACTTTTAAAGAGAATGTTACTTTAGTCATGTTGTTGTAATGTTTTGAGAAGACTAGTGACACAATAAAAAAAAATCTAAATCTTGAATCAGTCAAAGTTTATAAAAAACCTAGATTTTTTTTTTTTTGCCAAATCGCCCAGCCCTAATTACAGCACACTCTTAATTTATTATCGGTTACGCTTATTCAAAAAGACGATTACTATCAAGTTGTTACATGTCATCAAGCTGATCTGGTCTGGAGTGCCGCTCGCTTGTGTTGGGCATTTGGATTTGTCTGTTATTTAGGTATTTTCATGAATAGTATTTTTTTAGTTTGTAGTGTTTTTCTTATTGTTAATAATTCATATTGTGTGTAGATAATGCCTTCACTTGTAAAGGCTGTCGAGACGGACTAATTTGTTGATCATTTATTTTAATTAAACGACATTATGAAGATACTGCTTACCAGTGCTGTCTGTCTCTTTCCTGCTCTGAGTAATGCAAACGTGTGAATAAATGTGTAAAAATACATTTATGTAAACTGTCATTTTAACATGATCAAGTGATTTTTCGTACTTTTTTTCTTCAAATGGAAACATTTAACTCTGTTATAACTGCAATATTTACACTCCTCCATATGTGAAGCTTATGTGACTTTATTTGTTGCTTTTCGCTGTATGTCATGGCAAAAAGAATATTGAATGTTGTTTTGTGTCCATGATGGGACTTGCAGGTAAATAGACATGTCCCTCACGCCTCATTTCTGTCGTCTGTTAAGGTAAGCAGGCTGCGTGCACGTGAGCGATACACTTATTTAAATATGTCTTATGATAATACTATGTAAGCAGATTTATACACACAGTTTTAAAACTTTTAGAACAACCGTAAAGCAAAACAGATGTATTTCCCACGTAAAACGATCCAAAATGCACGTAGGTCTATTTTTGCGTGTTTATTCGTTTATAATATATAGCGTTGATTATAATATAATAAACAGAGAGATGAACTCTTTGTCATGGACCATATTTCTGAAAAATAAGCTAGGAAAGTTGTCTGTAGCAGAGGGGTGCTGACATCACAGGCGAGCGCCCCGAGGGCACAGTAGTCCGTTTCTAGCCTAATGTTAGCTTTTCAGTTCTTGCGTTTGCATTTAAGATCCAAAAGTGCTCAAAGTTGAATTTTGGTGTGAGTATTATCCGGCTGGACAAAATGTGTAAGTTTAATGAACAGTGTTTGAACACAGAGCTTAATATTCGCAATCTTCCAAAAGCCTATGGGAAAATCCTATGGGGATTTTATCAAGAGAAGTATGAGTTTGTTTTTATATTCTGTGTGAAGTATGAGTATTGTTTCCTATTTTGCTCTATCGTTTATAGGGGTGTAACGATTTATCGTTGTATGATTTATTGCGATGCAAAAATGTCACAATATGCATCGTGGCATCATGACGATTTCATTACGATATGACGTCCGTTTTCTCTTATTAGTTGAGCTGTTTGCACGTGAGCTACGTTCCACCTGCTGTCGCACGTGAGTTCAGATTGCAGCAGCAGTAATGTTTGCAGATGAGTGGAGTTGAAATAGAGGATGGCCCATCCTCTCAAAATCAGACGTCTGGCAACATTTCGGTTGTACAGTCATTGCTTTAGACTCGTCCGCTTTTTGACACTCATACTGAGACAAACATAGCCTAAGTTTTAAAGTCTTCACAGTGATTTACATACTTTGCACTGCGACATGGATACCTTCTAATGGTGTTGAAAGAGTCACATACTGTATTTATAAGGTACAATTCACCCTAATATATCATTCTGTTTTCATATAATGATGTATTGGCGGCTGCAAAATCACACATGACGTGCGCTGACCGTGAGCTGTTACTACAGAGGGCGGACTATGATTGACGCGCGCGCGTCTGCTTCAGTGAACAGAACCTGCAGGTTGTGACTAACATTCAGCATTCAACACTGTGACTAACATTCAACATTCAGTTTGTGGAACAGAGTGATCGTTCAGGAGCCGCGTGGGAAGTATGAACAGCAGTAGAAATAAAACCGAAAGCGTGCACATTATTTAAATAATTATATCGCATTTTAGAGTTATGATTACGACGAGCATGAACTCTTTTGAGTACAGAGGTACACAAAAATGCACGTCAACATGATACACTTGATAGCGCCGACATCAGCGACGCCGAAGAAATAGTAAACCTGCCTAAACTGCTGAAAAGAGCCACGACTGTCCTGTGTAATGAAAAGACGGCCACCCTGTCACTCATCATGCCCAACATGAAGACAGCCATCCATATAAACCTCTCAGACAGATACACATCAGTTCAGGATTATCTTATAGAACTGCTGATAACCTGGAAATGTAGATTGCACACACAAAAAACGCAAGTGACCAAGCAAAGCCTTAAACTCTTACTGTTAAGTTTTTAAATTGTTTTATTTTCCAGAGACAGTCCTGTTTAATTTATTTTCTTAAAGAAGGTTCAGTTTAACAAGTTGAAACAAAAGAAATACGTAAAAAATAGTTTACTTAGTAATTAAATTTTTTTTAAATAAAATTAGCATTTCAGTTTAATCTTCAATTTCTATTCCAAATATCGTGATCCATATCGAATAGTGAACATTATATCGTGATACACATTGTATCGTGAGCTGAGTGTATCGTTACACCCCTAATCGTTTATATTGTGGTGCCATAAAATAGATTGTTTACTGTACTCTCTTCCTCATTTATGAGCGCAATTGTGCACACCATTGCGGGGATGCAGACAAAAATGTGAAAAAGAGCATTATGAGAAATATTAAATGTTCAATTTTTACATTTTGCGTTTTATTTAGTGATATTTTATGTTGGAATGTTTTGTGCTTTTAATTTAATTTATATTAACTTATATTTCTTACATGTTGCATTATATATTAATCAATGTTACATTTTCATGTAATTTCAAAGATTGATTTGACATTTTTTATTGTTTCTTTTGTCTGTCTGTTTTCTTGAAGGTGTGGATTTTAAAATCAAGACAGTGGAGCTGAGAGGAAAGAAGATCAGGTTGCAGATCTGGTGAGTGCTGAGGAAGTGCTGTGTCCTTATCATTGACTCAGCCCACCGTGTCACTTCCTGTTCTGATGAAGTCGTTCCCCAACAAAGTCATAGATTCCAGAGCGGAATATATGAATGTCTTTCATGTGTCGAGGCTGAGATTACTCATCTGCATCTGCTTACTGTTAACATTTAACTAATGCTCTGCCATTTTTTTTGCTATCTAAAAGCATGCAAGCTTTAACGCAGGGGTGTCCACACTCAGTCCTGGAGGGCCAGTGTCCTGGAGAGTTTAGCTCCAACCCTAATCAAGCTCTTACTAGGTATACTAGAAACTTCCAGGCAGGTTTGTTGAAGCAAGTTGGAGCTAAGATCAGCAGGACACCGGCCCTCCAGGACTGACTTTGGACACCCCTGAACTAACTAACAGAACTTGAGGTGTTTATGATTAATCTATGATCATTTTTGTCAATCCATTGTTTACCAAGCATTTTTGTGATTTGTCTGTAACATACCCATCAACCTTCCCGTTTTTCCCGGGATTCTCCCATAGTTTACTGTTCTATCCCGCAATCATCCCGTAAAGGTATTTTCCTGTGTTTCTACCGTATTTTCAGTCTTTCTCTGAACAGCCGAGCCTCCCTTTGCGCAACCCATACCGCCGAACCACCAGGGGTCGCCCCTTGCTCTAAAACGTAAATCTGTTCTGTGCTTTCGCTTTGTTAAGGAATGAAAACACTTACAAATAAATATTAAAAACGGCGCGATTCCATTTCCTTTTGATTACAGGTGCCGTCACTCATCCTATACAATCCTCAAAACAGTGATATAATGGTGCGTGACTGTCAGCTTACACGCTTCATATTGATAAATAGACGCTGTTTCCCAAACGGATTCTGCGATTTGAAGCAGAGAGAAAGTCTGGCTTTTGGGTGTGTGTTTAAACAGACATACACACATAATTAATAATAATAAAGTATAAGGATGTCGATCTTGATGAGGTTTTTTCCAAACACAACTAATTTCATCTTAAATGAGCATAAAAAGTTAGGAAAGCAGGTGAATGCGTTTCATTATAATGTTAGATGTGTGCATTTATAAAGTGACACCTCTTATTTAATGTAGTAAAAAAATCTTAATAAAGAAGAGATTTGTTGCTCTTTAATCCGAATGTGTAAGTTATACAGTGGAGAAACGGCTAATGAGATTTGATAGCTTGATTCTATTTCTTTATAACAGCTTTTCATTTTATTAAGCTGAACTGTTTGCAAATGTATTTGCTGCTAATGTATATATTTATTTTTCTTTTGTTAATAATAATTTTGAAACTTATTACTGACCATTTAATTGTTTATTTACAATGAAACAGCTTCAAATGAACACATTAAGTAATTTGGGGATTTTCTTTGGAAGGGGGGGGGGGGTTATCCCTTATTTTCACATCCCAATGTTGATGGGTATGGTCTGTAAAAATGTCGAGGACTTCAATAAGAAACAATAACATTTGTATTTTCTATCAGTCATAAACATAAGATTGGTAAAAAAAAAAATGTAATAGCTCATTTTAATTTCTGGGTGTAATAGCTCATTTTAATTTCTTGGAGTAATAGCTCATTTCTTGGTGTAATAGCTCATTTTAATTTCTTGGTTCACCAAGACATTTAAATGAGCTATTACATTTTTTACCAACCTTATGTTTATGACTGATAAAAAATACAAATGTTTTTGTTTCTTATTGAAGTCTTCTACATTTTTTATAGACAAATCACAAAAATGCTTGGTAAACAATGGACAGACAAAAAAAGATCATAGATTAATTATGAACACCTCTAGTTCTGTTCTGTTATACTATTTTTAGTTTTACTATACAATTTTTTTTTTTTACTAGTTCTGCTCTATTCTATTCTGTGTTCGTGCAGTCTTTCTGTTTTCCCATTCCTTTATTGTCTCACTTGAGTCTGGCTCAGTCATTTTCTGACTAATCACAAACTAACACTAACCCTAGGGGTCTGTTCTTCGAACCTGGATTACTCAGTTAACTGGATTTGGTTATTGACGATTTGACATGATCCAGGATCGTTTCGTTCTTCAAAACTGAACCCAGAGTTGTTGTCAACAGTTCTGATAGCTCAAACCTAGTCGGAAGCAGGTTCAATTCATATAAACAGGATTAGATCGGCTCAATTCAAGCAAGATAATACAGAAAATATGTACCGAAT